CGCACTGAGATCCCAGGTTCAATTCTAGTCAAGGGCATGTACCTTGGTTGCGGGCACATCCCCAGTAGGTGTGCAGGAGGCAGCTGATTGGTGTTTCTCTCTCATCGATGTTTCTAACTCTCTATTCCTCTCCCTTCCTCTCTGTGAAAAAAAATCAATAAAATATATATATTTTAAAAAAGTGATTTAGCCTAAGAGTGTATATCAAGGAAGGGATACCAAGACGGAAGTCACTGTGGAAAAGCATCTCCACAAGTGGAAGGTGACAGGGAGCCTGATATGAGGAGGACCCTGCGCAGCCTACGGGAGGCACCGCACACCTGGTAAGTCTGAATTTCTGACAGACACCAATTACGTTTTTAGTATAAGTATGTCCCAAATATTGCTTTATTCAAAGTATAAGACTACCCAAAATATTACACAGGACATGTCTATATTTAAAAGTGCATTTGTTATCTGAAGTCAAATTTAACTAGGTGAAACATATCTGTGTACTAAGTCTGGCAGTACTAGCTCTGGACCACCCAGTCCAAAATACTTTTGCAGAAATGTCGAAGCTCTTATCTTAAATGCAACAGGGAACACTAACTTCTTCGTTAAAACTATGTTTTGTCTAAGTTTCACAAAAAAATACAAATGTTAAGAACCCATGAAAGTTAACACGTTAAGCGCCCAGCCTGTTTTGTCTTCTGGACGGTGACCGACAGGGCGCTTATTAACTGGGTCCTTTTTATGATGTCAAAACACCTCTATGCACATTCCTTTTCTCTGCATTCATTTTCACTATCACAAATATTTGATACTAAAAAAGCAAATTTATGGAGGTAACCATGAAAAATTACATAATTGATTAAAGATGGTGAAAGGTAAGAAAAGCTGTAGTAACAATTTTAAACTGAATCAGAGTTCTCTGTAAGTAAAATCAAAACAACTTAGGCAAGTCTTACAAAAAATTCAATACAAAGTAAAGGATACAGCACATAACTTGCAGGGACTTAGGTGTGGTGAATATGTAATATGGTAAAATATGTCAAGTAGAAAATTTGTAAGAAGTTGATTTCATAGCGAAGAACACCTAAAAATGAAACATAAGAACCGCCAGAAAAGCCCTGCTGGGCGAACAGGACCGTGGAGACCAAATGCCGGGTCTTCTTGGAGTCAATTGAGCTGCAGGAAAAACCTGCATTGCCCCCACCTGTGAGCTCCAGGCACTGTTTCCGGGCTCTGTCCTATCTCACTGGGATTAGCTGGATGTCTGTCCTATCTCACTGGGATTAGCTGGATGCCTGTCTTGTTCACTGTATAAAGAATGACACTGAAGGTCAGGGACTCAGTCTGGCTTTAGTTACGACCCCAGCACGGGCGCAGTCACCATTCCTGGGGTATTTGGACTGTGACAGTCAAGACACCCTCACCTGTAGTCAGTGAGCATCTGACGTGGACTCCTGCTGCCAGAGGCTCCCAGAGCTTGTCCAGCCCTCGGTCACCACTTGCTAAAATGGGTGTTTATTATAAAGACAACAGTGTTCCCAGAACATTCCCATTCTCCTTCCTAGTAAAAAACAAAGCAAATAGTCTCTTAAAAGACAGGAGGATGTGGCATAGCTCCACCAGGACACAGTCCACGGCTCGGCGCCCCTCGGTTAACATACAGCTGCCGGTGGTGTGTTAGGGTCACAGCTAGGGTCTGTCTGCTGTTATTTGGACTTAACTTTTAAAATGGAAAAACACAAGTCAACACCAGGGCAGTGAAAATCCCTCATACTGTGCCCTCTCTGTCCAGCCAGGTGTGGCAGGCAGGGCACGAGTCCTTCCTGCGCCCCCACATCTCCTCCTGTGGGGGAGCTACCCACGTGCATGTCGTCTGAGAGTGCACATGGGCTAAAGCAATCAGAGCTATCGATGACATGCCAGGAGGGTTTATGAATTTGATAAATGCATAAACTGTTTTAGCAGTGTCAACGCAGGCCTTAGAGATTGACCCCAGTTCCCATAGTGATGAAGAAAGATGACTCTCTCCACTTAAAGCACTATTCTGTGACCAGCCAACAGCCGCTCCAGAAGTCAGGGCCAGAGGCCTGTGTGGGCCTGAAAGGGAGAACGGCTGGCGGTCAAGGGAGTCAGGTCTCATCACTGCAATTCTGTCCATTAACGAAAGGCAATGCTGTTGCCTTCTTGGTTGATTCTACCTTGAATTCTTCAACTCAAATGTGGCGCTGCAATATATAACAAATGCCAACGGTTTATTCTGGTTCTCCCCACCCACTATCTGTGCGACCAACTGTAACACGGAAAAACTGCGTTATCTTCCTTAGAGTCAACACATTAAGTCCTTTAACCCTTTTCAGTCCAACGCCGAGGCTGAGGTCGACACCGCAAACCGGTTCAACATTCAATCCCGTCAATTAATTTGGACCAGACTGTTTGAATTCCAAAAATAAAATTCGACCGCAAAGGGTTAATACTCAAAAAGCTCTCAGAATACTGTCCAGAACACAGTGTCCACTGAGGGGGATTCTTGTTATTTCACCTTATGGAGCATCTTTTCTATCTTAACACCATGGAAACATCCTTAAGGTAAAGAAAACCTAATAGCCCAATTAATATTCGAC